ATTTTTAGTGGAGTCTTTAGGGTTTTCTATATGTAGTTACAATGTGATCTGCAAATAGTGAGTACTATTTCTTCCTTACGAATGTGGATGCCTTTTGTTCCTTTTTCTTTTCTGATTGCTATGGCTAGGACTTCTAGTACTATGTTGAATAGAAGTGGTGAGAGTAAACATGTCTTATGTCTAATATTAGAAGAAAAGCTTTCAATTTTTCACCACTGAGTATGATGTTAGCTATGGGTTTTTCATATACGGCCTTTATTATGTTGAGGTATTCTCCCTTTAAGCCCTCTACTGAGAGTTTTTTATCATAGACAGATGTATTTTGTCAAGTGTTTTTTCTGCATCTATTGACATAATTATATGATTTTTTTTATCCTCCTTCTTGTTAATACGAGGTATCACATTGATTGATTTGTGAATAATGAACCATCCTTACATTCCTGAAATAAATCCCACTTGGTGGTGCTGAATGACCCTCTTAATGTATTGCTGAATTCAGTTTGCTAATGCTCTGTTGAGGATTTTTTGCATCTATGTTCATCAGGGATACTGGCTTGTAGTTTTCTTTTCTTTGTAGTGTTTGTCTGGTTTTGCTACTAAGGTAATAAAGGCTGGCCGTGTCAAATGAATTTGAAAGTTTTTCTTCCTTTCTTTTTTTTGGAATAATTTGAGAAGAACAGGTATTAGCTCTTTAAATGTTTGGTAGAATTCACCGATGAAGACAACTGGTCCTGGACTTTCATTTGTTGGTAATTTTTTTTTTTTATTACCAGTTCAATTTTCTTACCAGTAATGTATTTCTTCAGGTTTTCTATTCCTTTCTGATTCAATTTTGAAAGATTTTATGTTTCTAAAGATTTATCCCCATTTCTTCTAGGTTGTCTAATTTGTTGCTATCTAATTTTTCACTGTATTCTCATAATCTTTTGTATTTCTGTGGTGTCAGTTATTATTTCTCCTCTTTCATTTCAGACTTTTATTCATAAATACATACATACATACATACATAATTTTATTTACTTTCTCTCATTTTTTTTTTTCTTCCAGAATCTGGTTAATGGTTTGACTATTTGATCTTTTCAAAGAACCAGCTCTTATTCTCATTAATTTATTTTTTGGTCTCTATTTCACTTATTGCCGCACTAATTTTTATTATTTCCTTCCTTCTACTAACTTTGAGCTTTGTTTATTTGTTTTCCTAGGTCCTTTAGTTGTAAGTTAGATTGAGATTTTTCTTATTTCTTGAGGTAGGCCTGTATTGGTATAAATATCCCTCTTTGAACTGCTTTTGCTGTGTCCCAAAGATAACGAACAGTTGTGTTTCCATTTTCATTTGTCTCCATGCATTTTTTTCTTTTTTTGTAATTTCCTCTTCGATTCTTTACCCACTGGTTGTGTAGCCCCCATGTGTTTGGGTTTTTCCAGTTTTTTTTTTTTCTTGTAATTAATTTCTAGTTTCATACTGTTGTATTCAGAAAAGATGCTTGATAGGATCTTAATCTTGTTAAATTTATTGAGATTTGTTTTGTGACCTAACATGTGATCTATCCTAGAGAATATTTCATGCTCATTTGAATAGAATGTGTATTCTACTGTTTTTGGGTGGTATATTCTGTATATATTTGTGAAGTCCATCTGGCTGAATGTGTGGTTCAAAGCCAGTTTTCTTATTTTCTGTCTGGGTGGTCTATACATTGATATAAATGAGGTGTTAAAGTCCCCTATGGTTATTGCATTACTGTCGATTTCTCCCTTTAAATCTGTTAATATTTGCTTTTGGATTGAACCCTTTTGATCATTATATAATGCCTTTATCTTTTATTACAGTCATTGTTTTAATATCTATTTTGTCTGATGTATTGCCTCTAAACCTTTTCTTTTTCCACCTCCATTTCCATGGATTATCTTTTTCTATCCCTTCACTTTCAATCTATAAGTGTCTTCTGTCAAGACAAGATGGGTCTTGTTTGTCTATTTATTTTTTTAAAATCTATTTATTTTTTTAAAATCCATTTTGTTGGGGCGCCTGGGTGGCTCAGTGGGTTAAGCCTCTGCCTTCGGCTCAGGTCATGATCTCAGGGTCCTGGGATCGAGTTTCGCACTGGGTTCTCTGCTTGGCAGGGAGCCTGCTTCCTCCTCTCTCTCTCTCTCTGCCTGCCTCTCTGCCTACTTGTGATCTCTCTCTGTCAAATAAATAGATAAAATCTTTTTAAAAAAATCCATTTTGTCAACCTATGTTTTTTGCTTAGAGCATTTAGTCCATTTATATTTAAAGTAAATATTATAAAGTAAAGTAAATAAAAATTAAAATATATTTAAAGTAATTATTAATTATATTTAAAGTAATTATATTTAAAGTAATTATATTTAAATTATTAAAGTATATTTAAAGTAATTAAAATAAATTATTAAATTTATATTTAAAAGTAATTAATAAACTAATGATAAAGTAATTATCAGTATGTGCTTATTGCCATTTTGTTAATTTTCTGGTTGTTTTTATAGTTCTTCTATGTTCCTTTCTTCTTCTGTTCTCTTCCTTTGTGGTTTGATGACTTTCCTTAGTATTATGCTTGGATTTCTTTCTCTTTATTTTTTTGTGTATCTGCTATAGAATTTTTGATTTGTGGTTACTATGGGATTCATATTTAACACCCTATGTATGTAGCAGTCTATATTAAGCTGATAATCCCTTAAGTTCAAACACATTCTAAAACACTAAATTTTTACTCCCCATCCATATTTTATGTATATGAAATCATATTTTACTTCTTGTGTATTCTTTGACTAATTTTTATAGATATGATAGACTTTTACTATTTTTGTGTTTAACCTTCATATTGGCTTCATACATAGTTGATTACTATTTTTATCAGTGAATTTTTTTCCTTTCATAATTTTCTCATTTCTAATTATGGTCTTTTCTTTTCATGTAAAGAATTCCCTTTAACATTTCTTATTAAGGTTGGTTTAGTGGTGATAAATTCCTGTTTGTCTGGGAAATTATCTCCCCTTCAATTCTGAATCATAACCTTGCTGGGTTGTAGGCTTTTTCCTTTTAGCAGTTTCAATGTATCAAGCCCCTTTCTTCTGCCCTGAAAAGTCTCTGCTGAAAAATCAGCTGATAGCCTTATGGGGTTTCCTTTATATGAGTTCACTTTTCTCTTGTGGCTTTTAATATTCTCTCTTAAGTTTTTGCTATTTTAATTAGGTGTTTTTGTGTGGACCTCCTAGGGTTCATTTTGTTTGGGGCACTGTGATTCCTGGACCTGGATATCTGTTTCCACCCCTAGATTAAGGAAGTTTTCAGCTATTACTTCTTCAAATAAGTTTTCTGTCCCCTTCCTTCTTTTCTTCTTCTGGGATCACTACAATGTGAATGTTATTGTGCTTAATGATATCACGGAGTTCCCTTAACCTATTCTTATTTATTATTATTATTCTTTCTTTTTGCTGTTAAGGTTGGTTACCTTCCATTTTCCTGTCTTCCAAATTATTGGTCCATTCTTCTGCATCCTCTAATCTGCTGCTGATTCCCTCTAGTGTATTTTTCATTTCAATTAGTGTACTCTTCAATTCTAACTGCTTATTTTTTTATAGTTTCTTTTTGTTGAAGTTCTCATTGAGTTCATCCACTTTTTTCTCAAATCCAGTGAGTACCTTTATGATCATCACTTTGAATTCTTTATTGGGCTTGTAAAAGGGATAATTACTAAATAAGTTGGTTGCAAAGAATATGAAATAAAATTAAATGCCTTTATTTTCCCTTCTTTAAATATTAAACTTAAGTCCACAAATATAATTAGGCCAAAATGCAAGAAAATTTCACTGACTAGGAATTTTATCATTGTTTTAATATGTGTACCACACAGTATTTAAGAAAAATCAAAAGATGTCAGTATTAAAAGAAAGTCTCTATCTTTGCACAGGGCACTGCCAATTTCTTAACTGCCAGAAATGCCTCTACGAAATGCTAAGGTGTCACGGTGCAGGGTGACTTTTCTGTATCCTGAACAAATGTAACATGTTTCTAGTATACACTAGCATGACATAAAGTAAACTTGACTAGTCGATCAAAGACAAAGAAGCACTAAGCACCTAACATGGTGCTGAAAACAATTTCTTTTTAATACATGTTTGCTAAATGATGGACTTAAGATGCAAATATAAGCTATAGCCCATAGTATTGGCTTTTGCAATGTTTATACCCTCATCATATTCCAAAAGGGTTAAGGCAACTAAAAAACATGTATAAAAATGATAAAGATAAACACACTGAGAAGTAAAGTTGCAACTTTTCTTCTTAGTAGGTGAACAAGGTGGAGCTAGTAACCATGTACTTGATAACTTCATCTGCACTGTAAGGTAAGATTTAAAAATGCACATATTATCTTTCTGTTGAAGGACCATGTTATTTGCTGCATTTTTCTTTTCTAAAAGTAGTCAGAATAAACAGTAAATGGGATTTTTCCTAATCAGGGGTCTGGGAACTAGGAATCCATGTTGTAGCTCAAGAAAACTTTTAGGGGCACCTGGGTGGCTTAGTGTGTTAAACCCTCTGCCTTTGGCTCAAGTCATGATCCCAGGGTTGGGATCAAGCCCTGCATCAGGCTCTCTGCTTGGTGGGGAGCCTGCTTCTCCCTCTCTCTCTCTGCCTACTTGTGATCTCTGTCAAATAAATAAATAAAATCTTAAAAAAAAAAAAAAGAAAGAAAACATTTTAGTTCCACAAATCGTTGTTTAGGATAAACAACAGTAGAGCAGAAGGCAGTGCAGACTCTAGTCTGAAGGTCAGTAAAATCTGGGGGGAGACAGAGAGAAAGTGTGTTTACAGATTTATTTAAGCATGGGGGAATAGTAATAAATAAAAGTGTACCTGCAAGTTGTATTATGGAACCAAATAAACAAAAAACTAGAAATCTATATTTAATACAAACAACCATAAACCACAAGAGGAAGTATAAACCACTTTATCGCAGATTCCCAGAAAGTCCACTTACCTATCGCTTGAGCTAAGGCTATTACAACCTCCTGGCAAGTTGTAACTTCTGTGACCCCACAAACAATCCTCTGAACTCCATCCACCCATACTTTAAGTTCCATGGTGTAGCAGCTAGTCACCTAAGGGCCCTGAGACTGGTCATCAAGGTGTCAGGTCATGTCGCTGGCTATGGAAATATGGGGAAGGCAGAGTCTTGTGTAGTCAGCTAAAAAGAAGAAAAAACATTTTTAATAAAACGAGTCTTTAAATTTCTTTTACTAAGTATTATGCAAAATAAATTCTAATATCTCATAATCCTACTACCATTAATGACCATGTACGTACTTATTTTATAGAACTGAATTTGGTAGCATGAATACAACTAATAGTCACCTATTCATGACAGTGTTTCATATTTTCATAATTATAATTTTAATCATAAAGTAACTCTAAGAAATCAAAAAGTAACTCTAAGAAATCTTACTTACTTGACTAAGCCCTACTGCTCAACATATAAGCTATTCCTTTCTTTAAAAAAAAAACAAAACTCATTAGGATCATTTGTAAGGTTAAAAAACAGTTTTTGTCATTTTTTTGAAAAATAAACCAGTTGAACCAGTTTCCATAGCCTTGTGAGCATTTGTAAATGTATCTTCACAACTCCATTGCATTCCTTTGTTTCAGTGTCCCTTGCCTCCCTCCCTTCCCTGAAGGACTGAGAGTGTGGTCTTCAACACTCAAACTCCAACACCAAACACAGCATAAGGCACAGGTGTGCAGAAAGCAGTTGAAGGAAATTAATTTCTTTACTGGCTGACAACTTCCCCATGTATGAACTGCTTGTCCTTTTCTCATTTATTTAACTGGGGTTTGACAGTATTCTTAAATTATAAGAGTTTTTCTAATAATATAAACCTCAACTTTTTGTTACACTTGCTGTTTCCCCATTGTTTGATTTTTTTCTTTAGCTGCATTATATATATGTGTTTCACATTCTCATACAATCAAACCAAATGCCTTGATTTCTTGTATTGATTAGAATGTTATTATTAGCTGGTTAAAAATCAATTGCACACAATTCTTTTTCCTGTAGGTTTTTAAAATCTCAGCTCTTCCTGTGTTAAAACTAATCAATCTATGATTTGTTTGTCTATTGTTTTATGATTCTATTTTTTTATTGGTTTTGAAAAGAATGCTAAAGTTTATGAGATGTAATAAACATTGATTTAATTAAAATGATTTAAATTTATTTAAAGGTTGATGATGGTACTGGTGTTTCAGGATCAATGACTTATTGAAAAGCTTATTTTAAAAACATTAAAAACATGTCCAGTAAAAGAATATAATATAGTCCTTGTGCATTTTCTTAAAAGACCTAAGATAGTTCTAGGCCACCTGTCACCTGGGTATATAAGTCAGAACATACATGAGTGAAGGAGAATAAACCTATTGCTTTCTCCAGAGAAGGTACAAAAATATTTTTTTTCATGCTGAAAAAAAGGGAAAGGATGGACTGTTTCCCAGTGTGTTGATTTGGCTCCTTCTGCCTCCACACTGAAGTGCCAAGGTGGTTTCATAAACCCCCTGTATGCCCAGAAGAAGAGCCACTTGCCTCTGACAAGCTAATCTCCACAACTGTGTTCCTCAGTTATGAAATCCCGCAAGATGCTAAAGTTTCTGGGGTGTGAGGGCGGGGGGGTGGGTGCTCCAAAGTCAAAGAAATGTAAGAAATCTTGCAAATAAAGTTAAACAAGTTTTTTTTTTTTTTTACAGTTAGACTACTCTGAGCATTTAATAGGCTGCTGCACACTTGAAATTCCAAATGTGAGGTTTATATATGCTACTGTCCCCAATCCATTTAAAGACCATTTAAGGAAAGGAAACAGAAGAGTTCTGACTTAAAATAAGATATTTTTCCTTCTCCACCAGGTGCTCTATTTACTAAAAATAGAATATGTATTATTCTTTTTGGAATAAAATTAAGATTAAAAAATGGTCACACATTAATATATTGTATTAAATTAATATATTAAAATTAAATTATTAAATAAAAAACTCAGCTGAGTTTAAAAAAACTAAACTGAATTAAAATCTATTTAATACCTAGTCCATTGTTTTTCATTAAAAGATCTCAAACTTGGGAAACCTAGCAAGAAAGATCTCATTAAAGGCCTCCTCCCCCAAAAGAAACCTATCATTTAAAAGAAACTTATGAGGTCCATTTTTAAGTTCTATAAAGGTTTTAGTACACCACCTCTTATTTTCTTATCTTGAATTATCATTGTTTTACCTCAAACTTTTAACTATTAAATGAATACAAATGAACATAGAGCACATGCATATCTGTTAAATATTACAGAGTATAATAACGTTGTGGGAAAACATTGAGCATAAATAATATTGCTTAGTTGATATAAACTTGCAAGGTGTTTATCCTCTTGATCAGAGACTTCCTACCACGGCTCATCACAGAGAAGACCAGCATCTGCATTTTTCTTCTAACACCATTAATACTATCTTTCAAACTGAAATCCTTAAGGAAAGTAAAAAAGATGCCTTCATAGATCAGATCAATGAACCACATGGTCCAAAATTTTATTTCTAGCAGAGCCCGTTTTCCAAATATGGCTTCTGTCAAGTTTGGGGCTGTACTAAGAATCATCCCCCTAGCTTCCCTCAAAATCGTGGTGCTATTCATGAAAGTCATTTGAAGAATCTGTCTTCTCGGTGGAAGCCCCTACTACTCCCTTCTGTGCTGTTGTCCAGAGCCCAACTCCTACAATTCTGCTCCCAGCCCCAGAACTAGACTAGAGGGAAAACGAAAGTCCTACACTGTAGGTGCCTATGGTGGACTGCTCATCATTGGGACTAAGGACTCAAGAAGCTGAGGGACTTTGACATCTCAGTTGGAATTTGGAATAAATTTTTCCATGGAAACAATAATGTAGGTAGAAGTAAGGTTCTATTGCAAGGATATTATTATAATATAGTTGTTATTGTTTTTACCATAAGATTTCTATATTCAAATCATTATTATTTTAACTATTATAATGAAAAATAAGGTTTATTCAGTAACATGCTACTGGGAACAAGTGTTCTTTAGTTAAAAACTATTTATTACCTTGAAAGCATATTGGAATTAAGCACCTACATTTGTGGAGACACATTCCCCCAAGAACAGTGCTTTAATGAAACAATTTTAGTCAATCCTCATTATTCATGGGTTCCTTATTTGTGAATTCACACACTCACTAAAATTTATTTGTAACTCCAAAATCAATATTTATGGCACTTTCAGAGTCATTCAAAGACATGTATACAGCTGTGAAAAATCTGAGTGGTCTGACCTACACATTCCCAGCTGAGGTCATAAAGAAGCATTATTCTGCCTTCTTGTTTCAGCTCTCATACTGTTGACAAGTTACCTCTTCCCAGTGTATTTCGTGCCATGTTTTGGCATTTTTGTAGTTTTTGTTGGTGATTTCACTGTTGAAAATGGCTCCCAAGCATAGTGCTGACATAAGTATAAGAAGGCTGTGATGTGACTTATGGAGAAAAGTACGTGTTGTTAGGTATGAGTTATAGAGCTACTGACTGTGAGTTTAATGTTAATGAATCAACAATATGTCAAATAAGGTATTTTTTGACAGAAAAACACATAAAACAAGGTGAGGTATTGATCAGCCGATGAAACTGTTGTGACCAAGGGCTCTCACAAAAAACAAGAATTGACTGAATGCTTTAAAATGGTCTAACTTCCTTGTGATGCTACCATCAGGCTATGCTAAGCAAACTGCATTACCCCCCGGACCCTAGACACAAACATACAGGTGGTTTAGTGCCAATTTTAACATTTCTTTCATGTCCAGTTTTGCTCAATATCTATGGTTATTGCATATTAAAGCATTCTTTATAGAAAGAGCCTACAGATAAAATGTGTTATAATAAAATCTTCACAATCAAGCTAGCTACTTTATTTTTTTTTTAAAGATTTTACTTATTTATTTGACAGACAGAGATCACAAGTAGACAGAGAGAGAGAGGGAGGGGAAAGCAGTCTCACTGCTGAGCAGAGAGCCCGATGCGGGGCTTGATCCCAGGACCCTGAGATCATGACCTGAGCTGAAGGCAGAGGCTTTAACCCACTGAGCCACCCAGGTGCCCCAAGTTAGCTACTTTAAATAAAACATTGATGCTAGCCACTAGTTCTTCTGGCACCATACAGAGATTCTGCACAATGAACACTGTATATTATGAAGAGTACTTACTAGAACTAATAAACAGATACCCAAATTCTCTTTTGTACAGAAAGCTAGTTAAAAAATAAAATCTAGGGATGCCCAGGTGGCTCAGTCGGTTGGGTGACAGACTCTTGGTTTCGCTCAGGTCATGATCTCGGGGGTCATGGGATAGAGCCCTGTGCTGGGCTCTGTGCTCAGCGGGAAGTCTGCTTCCCTTTTCCCTTCGCCCCTCTCCCTACCTGCATATATGCACTCTCTTTCTCCAATAAATTAATCTTTAAAGAAACAAAAACTAGAGGGAGTTTAGATTACCTCATTCTAAAACTAATTTGATGTGAGAATTAAATGAAGTTATAGAGAACAACTGTTATGAAGTAAAAAAGTATTAACTTTTTAATAATCAAATGGTGACTGAGGTAAGGAAAAAAATGGTACCTCTTGCCTGTGGGAGATGGAAAAGTAACCAAACATAAAAACAAATAACAACAACAGGAAAAAAATAACCTGGAGAACATGACAGGATGAAGCACAATGAGAGAGAAGGAGAGAGAGGGTGAAAACACGTAAGAAAGGAAAAAAGTGGGGGCACCTGGGTGGCTCAGTGTTTAAGCCTCTGCCTCTGGCTCGGGTCATGATCTCAGGATCCTGGGATTGAGCCCCGCATCGGGCTCTCTGCTCAGTGGGGAGCCTGCTTCCCCCCTCTCTCTCTGCCTGCCTCTCTGCCTACTTATGATCTGTCTGTCAAATAAATAAATAAATAATCTTAAAAAAAAAAAAAAAGAAAGGAAAAAAGTGGGTAAGAAAACAGATTTCGTCTAGAAAGTAACAGTTTCTGGAAAACTGCCTCAGATGCCAGTCATGGGTTGCTTGCTCCTGAACTGCAGTATTCAGCTGATGCATGTTTACAACACTCTGGTTCTGTATTTTGGAAACCCAGTTAAATGTTCGGTTGCTTGTAGCAAACCCATTATTTTGCTATAATATA